ATTAATAAAAAAAAGTTTTTAAACTAGAAAAGTTCACTTATTTATATGCGAATTCATTTTGTTAAAGTAAAACATGACGAACTCGCCCCGCCTTACCCTATATACATATATATATATATATATATATATATATATATATATATATATATATATATATATATATATATATATATATATATATATATATATATATATGTATATATATATATATATATATATATATATATATATATATATATATATATATATATATATATACACATACACACTCAATTTTAGTAAAAATCAAATTAGAAATAAGAAAAAAGTAAAATAAAATTTACTACACTACTAAATAAAAGTCTAAACGTCTTTCACCTGACTTTGAAAAAATGTCAATGACTCTTTCAACATCTGGAAAAATTTCTTGATGTATGGACATTAATGCTAAAGAGTTAAAGCGAGACTCAATCATATTACTTCTGGAGTATATTTTTAGCCTACGTATAACTGTAATACTTCATTCACATTCACAAGTTGTTATTGGAATTGTTCCTAAAATTATAAATGCTGTCCTTATATATGGAAAACCTCTCATGTCAATGGACTTTAAAGTACCAGCAACAGTTGAAGGAATACTTGACTGGTTTTTCCAAAATAATTCCCATAAATCTAACTCAGCATGTATTGAAGTAAAATGAGGCATATCAGATGAATAGAAATTTAAAAATTCATAAAAATCAGATTTCCATGGTTTTTTAACTTGTATTCTGGACAGTACAGTTGAAGGAACTGCTGCTAGACCTTTATAAACAAACATGCCATTTTCTGGAAACCTATTATCTAGCTCATTAATAAGATGTTCAATTAACGGAGAAGTAATGCTATGTTTAAAATAGTCACAAACTGTATTTGTTGAATAATTATCCCGGTAAACCTGGACATTACACAATCTAGGTCTCACTTCTTGTATATCAAGAGTTTTGGCCGAACTAAGAGCGATAGCGTACCATGCAGTGTGATATATATCAATTTTATTTTTAATTTATAATAACAGATTTTTTAGATTAGTTATTTAAAAACACTGCTGGGATATGTCAAAAGATTTAGTTTGAAGAGTTACAGTAATTGCATAAAAAAAATCCATTAGTTGTTTTGTAATAACTAAACTTACAATAAAAGAGAAATCTGTTAATAATCTTATATTCCTTTGACTCATTTTACCCCATCTCCTCTAAAGCATGAATAATAGGTATAAAATTATCAAAAAAAAACATAAAGACCTCTCAGCTTTTGAACCCATCTTGTTCGACAAGTATCTATTATAAGTATCTTATTACAAGTATCTTAATTTGGACTTACATATTTTTTGGCAGTTACTACGTTTAGGAGATAAGTTAAAAAAATAAGAAATTTCTTTTACTTGGCCGAGAAGATTTTTTACTTTTTGAACTTGGTATGCAGCTGCTACTACTAAACTAAGTCTATGGCTTGCACAATGAACAAATATAGTTTTATGATTAAGAGCTTTTATTTGAGAAGCAACTCCTTTGTATTCACCTGCCATACAACCCGGACCGTCATACCCTTGGCCTCTACAATTTTGAATATCAAGTCCAAAATCTTGAAGTGCATTAAGTACATTTAGAGATAGACTAAGACCAGATGTACCAGTCTTGCAATCAATAAATCTTAAGAAATCCTCGCAAATCTCATTATTTGAATTTACATATCTTAAAACAAGTGACATTTGTTCAGTATTTGAACAGTCAACTGCTTCATCACAAAGAATTGAAAAAAAAATTGAATGCTTGACATTTTTTATTAAAACTTCCTCAATTGCTTTCCCACAAGAATCAATAAATTGGTTTTGGGTAGTTTTTGATATATAGGTTGCATTTTTTGGACTTGAAGAAAGATGATTAGCTAATATTTGATCACCAGCATTAACTCAAAAATTTAAAAGACTATGTGGCTGAACTGGACTCTTATTATTTAAAACTTTCAATTCTTCAGTCAACTGGTTTTTATATTTGCGAATATTTGGCAAATGTCTAGTCTTAATTGCATTTGAAACTAAAAAATTCATTTTTTTTTTTAAACTTTAGTTAACAAGCAAAGTCCAATGACGAAAATTACGAGCGAAGAACGTATCCTCGCAGTCGGAAAGTCATGTGGTTATACAATTGCAAGTTGTTACCATCTTGGATGGGGGAAAACAAATGATTAGTTGAGTTAATAACTCAGGAGAATTTGTACGAAAAAGTGATTTAAAGAGTTTAAAAAAAGAAAAGTCGGTTTACGAATACTTTGAAAAATTAGATTTTAACACCGCAGAAAGGTATATAAATAAATTTGCAATCCTTGGAATCAACCAATGTTTATACAAGTTTTTGGCAAATACTTGGAAAGATGATCAAACTGAATGGCCTTGAGTTCAATACCATGACGTCTATAACTATTTAATAAAAAGTCCTATAATATTTTCTTTTTAGGCTATAGATAATTACAAAGCATTAGATGCTTATAAATATTTTGGCTTTGGCTAGATGCTGGAAGTTTTTCACACGAGGTTAAGCTCTAGTTTTGTTGTTTTGAAAACACAAGTTGTCTGACTTGTGCGTTTAAAACAACAAAACCATCTTAGTCACCAGAGTTGACTCAAAATAACAAAATCATCTTATAAAACATATATATATATATATATATATATATATATATATATATATATATATATATATATATATATATATATATATATATATATATATATATATATATATATATATATATATATCAAAAATTATCTCAAGACACAACAACTCATTTTAAAGACTCATTTTAAAAATGTTATGCCATTGTTTTTGTTTTAGAACGAAAGTTTATTTTCCCCCAACTAAAATGGTAGCTGTTCGCGGCAAAGATTATGACGTATTTCCGACTGCGAGGCATATCAGAATTTTGTAAAATTTGAACGATTTGGAGCAACTGATGCAATTGTTTTAAACTTTCTACAAATTTGATTGGTTATAAATAACATTTCTTATCTTTTTTGTAAAGTTTTTTGCGGAAGTTTAGTAGCAACTGATGTAATTGTTATTTTATTAAATAGTGATTGGTTTAAACTGTTTTTTAACCAATCATTAATGATTTAGAGTACAATTGCATCAGTTGCTACAAAGTGATTAGAAAAATTAGTGAAAAAGTACAAATATGATTGGTTAAAACGCACTTTTTTTTTTTTTTTAAAATAATCTCATTTGTATTTAGTGAAGAACAATTGCATCACTTGCTCTAAAACGTAGGAATTTTGTCTAAGTAACGAATAAGTAACTATAGAGATCAAATAAAATCGAGTTTGAATGAATTTTTTTCGAGTTCAAAACAAGTTTTTCATTTTTTGTGAATACCAGATTCCGATTTCTACTTTTACTTTTTATTAAGAAAAAAAAGTGAAAAAGAGATACACTTAATATGTATCCTTACGACATATTTTTAAATACTCTTTAAAATTTTATTCACTTTTTAAATTGATTTTTCTTGAGAGTAAGTTAAGATCGCACGTAAATTTTTTTATATAATGGCAGTTTACAGTTTTATAAACATATTTCTAGTTATGGTTTTTTTCAAATATTTTGGCTTTAGTTTTTAAAGCGGTCTAAAGTTTTTCAAAAGTGTGTTTCACACGGCTGATTATTTGAAATGCCAATGCAATTACGGGCAATTTTATTTTTTAAATTAAAGATTAGACCCACGGCTACGTTCTGATGAAAAAAATCCATGTCGTTATGTTTGTATGTACAATAGTAACGGCTTCTAAAGTTCGTATTTTTCACAATTTTTGATTTTTTAGACTATGATTTTCGACAACAAAGAACTTTTTTTTTGTATCTATATTTTTTTCTAGTAAAACTTGTGGCTGGCTGTTATAAATAAGTTGACAAAACTTATTAAAATAAATAATATTTCCGTTTTAGATTCTTAAAGTGTGACAATGCAAAATAGCAAATTGGCTAAAATTTGTCTGATTTTCAAAATACCACCTTGGTCCACCAATCTCGTTCCAACGAGAAATATTTAAACTAAAATATTTTGTATTTGTCATCGTATCTAAGCAAAAAAATTTGTTAAGCATATAAAGCAAATATGCGAAGAACTAAATCGATGACAAGTACTTGCAACAGTCTGATTCTTACAGACAATGGCTCTTAAGATGCAAACAGCTTGATTTATGCGTAGAGCACATAAAAGATAAGTAAAGTGGATTGCAAGCTTATTTTATTGTTTCGTAAATGGTTTTTAATAGCAGATTTTAACTTTTTTTGACCGCATTGAACTTGGGGTATATTCACCAATGGGATTTTTCATAAAGTACGTACGCAAGTATAATGGGGGGAGGTGTGGGGTGGGTGTTGAAGAGGGGTTTCCCAAAAACGTACCAATGTACGCAAGGTTAGGAGGGGGTTGTTAAAGACAGCGAATACGTACGCGGTATGACTAGTTTCTCGTTGTCTCTCTAAAACTTTCTTTTTCTTTTAATTAACAAATGCATTAAATTTCATAAGTTTATAAAATCAGAATTCTGTTGTGTAACAGAGTAATGTCAAATTAAATAAAAAATATTTTACTTTAATGCTTTGAAAAATTTATGCGTTTAAAAAGGGAGGGTTTTTGATTTTGTAATATATAATGCGTACGTAAGCAGAGGAGGAGGAAAGGGTATCTTTAAAAGCATGTAGGTGCGCACAAGGGGGAAAGGGGTTCTAAATCAGAGGTTTTACTGCGTACGTACTTTATGGATATAAAGTACGTACGCATAAAGTACGTCGTATAAGTACATATAGTCGTACGTACGCATAAAGTACATACGTACGTATAAAGTAAGTACGTCCCCTGTATATATAAATATAACCAACACTTATTATAATATAAAAACATGTTTTAAAAAGCAAAACATTTTAATTAACATTTTAGATATTTGAAAAATAAAATACAGAACAAAAAAAAAAAAAAAAAAAAAAAAAACATTTTTTAATTAGAAAATGTTTTGTCGAAATATTCATAATTGTTTTGTTTTTAAAGCAATTCCAAAAACGCATTTTAGCCTCAAACGTTTGCATAAAAAATTTCAAAATACATTTGAATTAGAGAAGCGCACAATAAATATCGACTGTTGAGTTCAATCAAGAAGACTCGACCATTTATGTGAAATATTAGCTCAACAGTAAGTTGTTTTATCTCCTTCTTCTCTCTCTTGATCTAGATCGACGCGGAGAAAAAGATTGACGGCCATGACTTCGAGATCGCTCTCGTCTACGCCTATTTCTATCTCTATCATACTCGTAGTCGTCGTACCTGTTGCTACGATGGCTTCCGCCGGAACCTTTCTGCACAAGCTGGCCTTCTAAACCCTGAAGACAATCTTGAAGCGACTGAATTAAAACTTGAGCAGGGTCAGTAGAAGCAGTAGTAGATTGTTTAATTAAGGAAATAGCTGTAACTAATGTTTCAATACCACTTTCAAACTCACCCGCATTCGCATCAGTCATTGCTCTTTGTATCGCAGTGCTAGCTACAGCTTGGTTTCTTCTCATTGATTCCATATCTTGTTCATTTAGACCAGCTGTTTGAAGTGGAAGTCCAGTCATTGGATCTATAGGTTGGCTCTCATGAGACACAAATGCTGGATTTAAATGCGGTGCAACTCCAGATCTATGTGGAGCCATATGTCCGGTAACCGAATTAACTGGCAAACCATGCATCATACCAGGAATACTTAGGCCTGGCATACCACCGTGAATAATATTGCCAGCCGCGTCAACAATTATACTTCCAGGAGGAAAACCTGCAGGAAGTTGAAGTTGTTGTTGCATTATAGTGTGATCAAGCATTGGAGCAGCAACAACATTAGCACCAGGAGGTGGTAAACCATGAATTATTTGTGGACCTGGCATAAAATTCGGCCTAACTTTTCTTTGGTCATCCCGAAATATTTTTCTTTGATCTTCATTAAAACCGACTGGTTTATCTGAAACATCAAGTATGCAAAAAAAAAAAAAAATTAAAATTAATTTAACATACAAACATAATATTTTTTCATCTCGTCTTAATCAAATAACCTAGTTTTGATCAAAACCTAGTCGTAAACAAAAACCTTGTTTTAATAAAAAAAAATTAAAAAATCTTTAATTAAAAACATAGCTTTGATCCAAAATAAGTAAATAATAAAATTAAATAAAAAAAAATATTTCTTGAAAACTTCAAATATAGTTTTTGTTCATCACGATCTAAAATAACAATTTGTATATAATAATATTTTATGGAAACTTTTATATAACTTTGTTTTATTTGTGGTCTAAGTTAAAACACTTTTGATTAAATTTTTTTCTTCATAATATTACGGACAAATTAACAAATTCTCTAGGGCCGCGTGACACCCATAAAAATATATTTTAAAAGTATTGTATATAGTTTTATCATATTGGCCTTCGTCAAGATTAATCCCACCGTTTTTGTGTGACATTTTGAAGAACGGGGGTTCTTCAAAACCTCACCCAGCATGACGCGACAAAGAAAAACAGTAGAATTTTCATAAGTGTATATTTTAATTGTAATACAATTGATAAATTTCTGTTAACCTAAAGTTGTTCCCAAATCTGACTTTGATTTTCAAGTATTGAAGTTATTTGTTCATCAATAATTTTTGAAGGCCAGGGTCTTCGGTAATCGGTAAAATACGAACCGCGAATTGCGAACCAGTAAAATGCGAACTTTTTTGGGAACCATAGTTCTATTAGTTGTTAATGATGTAATATTTTTTATTTTCTGTTTACCGTTAAATTGCTTATTTTACTATATATATTATGGACTTCAAGCAGAAACATAAATTATTTAATTAAAAAAATTATAATACATAATTTAATTAAAAAAAAAATACAATCCAATTTAAATAAAATATATCAAATTACATTATATTTAATATAAATTAAAAAATTGACGAGCAAAAGTTTTTTTAAATATCATAATCGTAGTGGTCATTAAAATGTCTTTGTTCGCAAAAAAAACATATTTTCGCATTTTACCGATTACCGAAGACCAGTTGTGAGTGAGTCAGGATGATGTTGATACCACAATATTGTGTTGTTATGAGTAAGAAGAAACAATAATTCTTCATAAACTTATAATAGCTGTCATAGTACAATATATATTATGCTATTGTACTGCACATCTTGTTCTCAACATCTGTTGATACCTAACAACAAGTGTTGTGACTCACTCACAACACTTAACTTTTTCTTTGTCCGAATTTAAAAAGACATAAGTTTAGATAGACGTTGTGCAACTAGACAATGAGATATAACTTTTGGAATCATCAAAAATAACATTCGACAATCCAATGCTTAAGCAAACTGTTTTGTGTTGTTTCGTTGATTTGATAGTGGCAAAATATAAACTACAACTCGCATTTACTCCTAAAGGTAACGAATTTTGAATGCTTGGACATGCGTAGTCATATAGTAATTAATCAGGAAATTTTTTTTATAACTGTTGTGGGTAAAATTATTTTTCAAAGTGATAAATTTAAAAAGAGGCTTGCAAGATTATTATTGTATTATTGCATTCAAGGCAATTTTCTGCAGGAAACTGATGGAGGAAGAAAACCAGTTGGAATAAGATGAAACAAGTGAGCTATGAAGATATCCACAGCAGTTTTGATTATTACATATTACTATCTAAAGTATTGACTTTCTCCAACATGTTGAACATTCTACTCTGCTCTAAACTCCTTTAACTGTACATATTTTTCACAGTTTGACTCTTTGTACTCGGCTTAAATTTCAAATCTGTCAATGACTATTCAGGACCAAATTTGTGCAAGAACTTTTTTTAAACAACTTCACTTCCGCTGCAAGCAACCACTATTAGAGTTAAAAGTTACTGAAAAAGAAAAGATAAAGTTTTTCAAAGCAAGATAACTATTAACAGATGAGTTAAAAGATACCAAATTATATGAATCAGGAAAATAAGATAAAAGAAGCGAATTCCAAAAAATTGATGTTCGATGGAAAAAACTAGACGAATAAGAATTTTTGCAGCACTTGGGACCAGTCACAGTAAAAGGATGAGACTTAATTGAGTGACGAGTAACTTGAGAATGAATTTTAGATGGCACAAGAGACGCTGGCTCTTTAGAGCAGTGCCAATTATAGTATTTATAGAAAAGAGAAAGTGAAGCAACATTACGACGATGTGATTATGGTTGGCTGCAAAACAGATCCAACTATGTTTACAATGTATTTTTGCAATTTGCCTAAAAGAAAAAGGGCATCATTGGAAGATCTGCCCCATATGGCAATAGTATTCCATACATGGACGGATTAGAGATTTATAGAGATAAAGAGTAGAATTTGGAGTATAAAAGTGGCGAGCACAATGAAAAGATGCAACCTTAGCAGATGCTAATTTTGCAATCGATTTGATATATGGCTTCCATGAAAGGTTAGAAGTAAAAGTCCTTGTTCGCCAAGGTTCATGTTATAGAGTTGAGATGTTATAAATATAATTAAGTAATCTCCTTGTCTGTAGTAAACTTCTCAGCCTTGGGGAGGTGAATTAAAAAAAAGAAAAAAAAAGAAGGGTAGAAGACTCATTGAGTACATTACCGTCCATAAATATATGAACATCTAGATTATAGCAATAATGATTAGCTAAAAAAAATTTTACCTGAGTTTTACTTGAGTTAAAGTTTATCAGCCACTGAGAGCCCTATGCTGTTGCAAAAGTGAGATCCTTTTCAAGCTCAAATGTCCCCTCCGAGCAATCAGCAAATAATGCCACCTTAGATGTGAGAATTTTTGTGAGATCGTCAATGTAAATTTAAAAAAACATAGGATAGAACCATCGATGTTGTCCATCGAAACTTTGATACAACAATTAGTAAGGAAAGACTCAATAATCTTAAAAATGTTATCTGATAGACCATAAAAAGAAAGTTTATGGAGAAGGCTAGCATGCCAAACTTTATAAAAAGCTTTAGAAATGTTGAGAGCAAAAGCCTTAGCCTCTTCATATATATCTAATGCATGATAAAACCTATCAGTTATTACCGTTAACAAATCAGCAAAGTTATTAGATTTAAAATGAGAGATTAAGTTAAGACTCAAAAACTTTGTTTATGATAGTAATAAGACTAATTTTGAGTTTAGCAGAGTGAGATAAAAGTACAAAAGGACAGATGTCCAGAGGAAAACAAAGAGCCTCAAAGTGGAAAAATATTAAAAACTAATGTGTAAAGTGTAGTAAAAAATAAATAAGAATAATAAACAACAGTCAAGGAAAGTCATTAGTTGTAGTGCTACTAAATTGTTGTTGGAGACCAGCGTAAATGTGATTTGTAGATAGAATTGGTAATGGAGTAGAATTATTCGTTTTATAAGTAGTCATCGTGTGGTTTGTATTCTTAGGGTGATAAACATTCATTATAGATGTAAGTGTCATGAACGTCTCGAGTACAGTATGGATTCGAGCCCTATGGTGCAGTGTGAACGCATAAAGACCTCCAGCTTTCATCCGAAACTGGCATCCCAAAAGAAGTTCCACTCTGGGTCTACACCAGGGTATCTTTTTAAAGGTATCCCATTGTGTTATCCCAAAAGGACTATTCTCAGAGTATCCAGTCAGGAAGACTGCCACAGACTCCTAAATTGACACTGGGACTAGAGGACTCTAAGTGGGGTTCAGTACAACTTGCAAACAATAGTAAGTAGTTTTTTGACATGAGTGTCTATTAAGTGCAGTGTTTTTACAAAGTGTTGCATGGGTCAATGAGAGTTGTGAATTGTTTTGAGTTAATTTAGGTATGTGTAATGTAAATAGATAATGTGTTTTACGTGTGTAACTATTGCAGTAGCATGCCTCAATAGTAAGAGTTTTCAGTATAAAAAATAGTTAAAAGGTCCTTTAAGTTGGTGTAACGTCAGCTAGGCGTGATTTGTAGTAGTCCTATGACGTGTTTCTGGAGAATAAATTACCTATTACAACTAGATGATCTAAAATGTTTAACTAGAATATCATTAATATAACAAACAAAAACTAGACAAATCAGATCGTTCTTCAGAACTTTTGAAAACAAATGTTGCTTTTCAGCAGGCTAAAATACTTTTGATATTTTGTTAAATAGTTTTGAAAGTATAGCTCTGCAGAACACTTCTGCAAGATTATAACAGGTATGTTGCCCCGACAACAGGGTGTAGAAAAGTCTGAGTAGGAAATCACTTTAGATACAGATGCTGAAGTGATACGAATGTCAAACAATATATTAACCTATTTGTCAGCTATATCAGGTGGGATGTGATTAGTGGAACCAAGAGATGAGATTGCTGAAAAGATCTTAGCAAACAATTTAGCTTTATCTTTATGCGAGGTAACAAAATCTAAACCATGCAAGAAAGGTGGAATAATAAATTTATCCTTATTATAGACACTGTTAAAGATTCTCCAGAGGTCTCGTGAGATTTTAGAGATAAAATACAAGATTTCATGACTTAAGAATAGCTTTTCGCATTAGACAAAACTATTTTACAATAGTTTCTAGCATTAGTAAACAGATACATTTTTTTGGAGAATTTTTTTGGTAATAGATAAGGAAGTAATGATTACGATGGGAAATTGCAGCAACACAATTGGGAGAAAAATATAATGGAGAGGAAAACTATGAAGAAGAGTGAGGCTTGACTTAGAATCATCAAGAGGATAATTATAAATGATTCCATGCCAACCTTAATTCAAGAAATAACATTCAAAGCAGATTAGTCAGCAGGAAGGCAAAAGATTTCTACCCAAGTGGCATCACAAAGAAAATCACAGGAAGAGTCTCAGTTAGCTTTAAGGTAGTTGTAAGAGGAACAATGATAAGGGGATTCTGATGATGAGGAAAAATTAAATAATAGTTTTAGAGAAATCAAACCGTGATTAGAACCTAAGAGTAAAACAGTGAAGAAACTGAGAACTGACTGGGATCAGAAACAAGACATAAGTTAAGTAAAAAAGGTAAATGATTTCGATAGACTGAAAAACGAGTTAGAAAGATGACTATTTGTGTTAAAGGTTGAGAAAGGCAAAGTTTGGGGGCCTTAACGCATGCAGAGCCACTGACACTAGAGCCAAGCCATTTAGTGTGATGGGCATTAAAGTCACCAACAACAACAATATTAGCTGAAGTTAAATAGAAGGGCATAGTCAGTTTGGTCGGAAATAACATAAAAAAGAGTCTTGAGATGAAGGAGAGTAATATCGAACAAAAAGAAAAGTGATAAAGTGGTTTTAAAGAAAAGCACATAAAAGAATAGAATGTGAGTTCAAACTTAGTTTCCCCACAAATGGGAGAATTCTTACAAATGTAAATGCCCAGGCCAAGCATAAGTCTATTGGAGTCTTTACGAATTAAAGATAACCAGCACTAAGATCATAAGATAAGACAGCTGAACTCAAATTAATATCACAAAGAGCAAGTAGGTCTGGTGAACTTTGCAAGAGATAAGACTCAAAATAAGAAAAGTTTCTTTAAAGACCAAAAATATTAGTGAATGATAAATTTAGAGAACCTAGTGACGACAATGGTTTTTTGTGTTTTATGGTTTTTGGTACTTAAGTCTTTTTTGGATTTGTTAAAGAACTTGACTCAAAACATAGATAGTACTCAGTACACTATTTAATAGTACAAGCAATTGCCTGATTACTATTAATAAACCCTAAGCAGTAACAAAGGGCTCAAAAATTTGTCTTTAAAATTCATACCAAAAGCACTAACAGGAACAGTATCCATGCGCAACATGGTACTGTTAGTACTCCAATATTTTACAGCTGTTGATGGAATCAGCCTCTCTGAGAGCTATCACAGAATTTGGGAAACCTGACTACCAGCCGGCTTCAGAAGATAATAGAATGTTTGCCCAGCCATAAAAAGGGACACAAGCAAAACCCATGCATTGAGTCAAGAAGATCCAGCATTCATCATCCTAGAAACAATGACAAACTAGAAACTGTTTTATTTACGCCAGGACAATAGATGAAAAAGAGGTGCAAAGCTGATCAACAGATAAAATCTGTTAACCTTTTCAGTCTTTACCTAGGAGGCTTTCTATATGACAATAGCCAGATACATTTCACATCAGCCCAAAATAAGTATTTTTATTGAGACAACATCTCAGGCCTTTACTCAACCAAGAACCCCAAGACAGAACGCGTGTTAAATCAGAGTTAACTTCTCCTAGCCTTTGCCCAAAAAAGCGTATCCTACGAGACAGCAGGGCATGAAGCAGGTTGCACTGGGTTACATGTTACCAGTAGCAGGATAACCTGACCTAACATACTTCAACATTTTCTATGACATCAATAGCTTTGGCAAAATTTACCTTGAAATTAAAATCACTAAACATTGCTTGTTTTTTCTCCTCTTGAATTGTTAGCTAATTATAATTATGGCTTAGCGGAGCCATGCTTCATTTTACACTGTTAAAAGCACTTACTAACTTTCAAGAGTGTGCAAATTATTTAGAGAGGGGATTGGTTAAACAGTAGCTAAAAAAACTAAATCAAAAAATATTTTTTTATATCTCAAGCACAGAGCGTAGTGGTGTATGTGCGTGGAGGATGGGAGTTAAATAAAATTAATATAAGGGGAACATCTGCCCATCTGACCTATCTGCCTTTTCTTAAAACATAAGATTTATTTCAAATAAAAACGATTCTTAGAGATACATACAGCATAATTATTGGCACTTAATTAAAATACAGATAATAACGATTATTCTTAGCTTATTTTATGTTTGGGTGAGTTTTTTTACACATCTTTCAACACCTTCAGGCTTGAATGTGGCAAGACCAATTTGAAACATTTATTGTATGTTAAGACCAATTGGAAACATTCATTGGATTAAATAAGCACCCTTTGATAACTTTAGTTGTGAATGAAACAAGTCAAAGTGTTTCAAAAATAAACAATAAGATCCTTGAAAGAATTTGCCTTAGTGTTGATATCAGGTGTCCTTGATAGCTTAACAGATACATCACCTGTTTATACATTTTGATATAAACCTATTCTCCTCTTATTTCAAATCTCCTATGTAAATCCATTTACACTAAAACTTCTCTTTTTCTGTCCCACCATTGCAAAGTTGCATCTCTTTCTCTTTTCTGAAAATGCTAACATGATCACTGCTTTAGCTAATTATCATGATGGCGATTAAATTTTGGTTGTTTCAACAACCAAAAATTAACCTTGAAAGACTCAAGGTTAAGTTATCCAGCTAAGTCCATCTTTTATGATGTAACCTTAAAAGATGGACTTAGTAAAAGAATGCAACTTTATAGTAGTCTTGCAAAATAAATAATGTAAAAATTTATAATGCAATCTTGCAAGATTAGGCTTTAGTTGAAAATTATTTATTAATTATTGGTATTTTTTTCTCCAAGGAACAGATAGAAGGTGGACATCAACTTTTTTTCATAAAAAATTTTAAAAAGTATTTTTAGCTTTCTTAGTAAAATAGCTTTTCATAAAATCTTTGATAAAAATTATTATATTATATTACCTTTTTTACATTGATTTTCAAACATTGTTAGCGACTGTTTGTTTACAAAGGTAACAAGAGGCTTCTGGTTATGAATATTCCTAGAATTGAAGAAACAAAAATCATATTTAAGTTTACTAATCTTAAACTTGACTAGAACTAAAACACAAATATTCAAATTATTAAAACAAATGTTAGAACTAAAAAAATGCACAACTTTTTAAAAATTAAACTAACTTTTAAAAAAATATATTGATACAATCATATATTGATAATTATTGAAATTTGTGATAAAATTATTACTGATTGGGCAGTCTTTCCATGCAAAGCCTCTGTGATGTTTCTGAGCCAACTTCAATTAAACAAAATCTAAAAACAAAAATTTAAATTTTGTTTAACAAGCTATAAAAATTAATTTTATAACTTTGCAAGTGAAACAGAATAAAACTAATAAAAAAAAAATTGAATAGTATTCACCGCTTAAACATAAACCTGACAAACAGAAACTCAATCGGAAATTACCTTTGTAAAATACTGCTTTTCGAACTTGTTGAAAGTGATTAACAATTTGAACAAAAAGTTTTACAAAAAATGATGCTTACAAAAATGAAAATTTTCCATATTTACAATCATATAATATTGGAATATAAAAAACGATGCTCATTGAATCTCTGATGTCAGTATTACTTAATTTACAGTAAAATGTTCTTACATTGCAATTTTTTTACTACAACTTTAACTGGTTACAATTTAAATCGCAAGCATGAGAGTTAAAATGGTAAACATCATTAAAAAACAATTGTACATGTCTATACTAGAATGCAACTATGTATTAATCTCAGATTTTGGGCATTTTCCTTACATTATATTTGTAACATCTACATGTTTCCTCAATGATGATTTCATATTAACTCTCTAAAGAATTGAAATGAAGTTTCACACAGTCAAAACATATTTTACATTAACACCAATCTTTTCATGGTAATTTTAAAGTTTTCATGGCTTCAATTCAATCCTTTAAAACTGTCAACATTCAGTTTGATAAATATTTACAAAATTTTTATTTAAAGCAAACTGAATGCAAACAACATATTTTACAACTAGCTTCATATTACAAGTTGTCATAATATAATTTGTGTCTTGAAGTTTTCTTTTTTTCTGGGCTGCATAGCCGAACACTATCTAAAGTAACAACATGGGAGATTCAGTTTGTGAAAAACAAACTTATACAATAAGAAAAAAAACTTTGAAAAATCTATATAAAATGCTTGAAGTAAAGTTTAAAAGAGCTTATAATTTTCTTTGTACTTTCTGATAACTTTGATTTAAAGTTACATATATATGGTATAGCTGATATGATATATGGTTTATATAACTGAGTGCTTCACAAAACTTTCTTAATCACAATTATCAACCCTGACATGTTTAAATCTTTAACTTAAAATTAAAAATTTAGGCAGACTATAACTAAAAATGTTTTTTCTGCTTTGTACATCGTTTTTATATCATGACTTTATATATCATTGTTATATCACACAAAAAAAATTTTTAACCACTCAGTTGACTTAAATTTATCTGGTTTTTTATAGCAATAATTGAAGAGAAACGTTATAATATAATATAAGCTGAGGTGAAGGTATAAATTACATGAATATTTTTGAGTATGCAAAAATAAAGATTGATAAAAGTTTTGATGATGAAGTTTAATGGTGTTGTGGGTGATTTTGAGTATTAATTTTTTTTTAACTTTTGTAGTCTTCTATCAATTAATTTTATACAAAAGTTACTGTAGCCCACACCAATTCATCACTCTCTAGTAAATTTATTTCAAGCATTTCAAGTTTAATTGTAAGGAGAAATAAACAAACCCTTTTGACTGGCCATTAATGCGATTTTCAAAAAACTTAATATTTAAAAGATCATTGACACCACACTCTCGAATAGCATTTGATAACTCTTCATCATTTGTCCACTAAACAATTTTACAGCATATTGAATATTAACAAAAATTTTACAAGGAAAAAACTAAAATAACCAAAATTTAAAAAATAAAACCTTAACTATATTAAAAATTTCTACATGAAAAAAACTGTTCATTTATAGTGTACAAGCATTTTAAATATTTTAAATTTATTTATTTTCTTATTTTTTGACATTTTTCTAACAAGTGCAGGCAAAAATAAGAGATAATTATATAAGAAATAGTCGTTTAAAAATAGTAATATAATAATTATGAGAATATAAGAAATTACAAAATTGTCATAACCAGCAAGAAGCAATATAAAAAGCAGAAAATGAAAATGAAAGAAAGCTGCTGTGCAAATTTTACGTACAAAAGCTGTAACTATCTACAGGAGCCTGCTACCTTTTTTTATTTCTCAAACAATTCCTTAAAAGAAATGGTGACATCAAAACTATTCCCTACCACCCACAAGACAATAGGCAATGTGAAAGGACAAATGGAACTATACTTAAAAGTGTTCGCCTAAAAAAAGACAATACTTGTTATAAATAAGTTAAGTGTAAAAAAAATCTTATCATTTTTAAAAATCATATCAGCAAAATGAGATATGCATTCATAGAGAAATGACATGAGAAAATACATTTGGCTAAAATGCAAAAACATACAAAAAAATACGTAAACAATATGCTTTCCCAAAAAAAAAAAAAATAATTTTCAATAATACAAAGAGCATAAATGAAAAGCAATTAAAGGTATCTAAAACATATAACAAATTTATTGTTATATGTTTTATATACAATTAGGAGACAATTAAGGTTGTATAAACAATCTTAATTGCTTTAAATAAAGTTTTAAATTAAAGCAAGATATTATAGTGTTACTTTGTTATAATGTCTATTCTGGCGGTTTTCCAGGGTACCTGAAATATATGTGCCAGGTACCTGGCTTGGATTATTCCAGTAGTTTACCTGGATACTCTGAATCGATGATATAGAAACTTGATGTCTTACTTGCAGGATTTTACTGGGCAAAAAATAAAGCCCCTTTTTTTTGTTTATGATAATAGTCCGCCATTTGTAAAAAGGGCAAAAGCTGAAACCGATGTGTGGAATAAAAGTTAAAAATGCAAGTCAAAAGTTCCCAATAAATTAAAGATAATTCAAAAACTCGTTTTAACAATTATAAAATACTTTTAAAAGTTTTTTATGAGCCTATGTTTATTAAAAAGTATTTTAATTCATAAAAAAGCTTCAAAATAGTATGACATTTTACTTTTCTATTCAAAACTTTAATACCTTTTTAATCGAAAATAATTTATAGCAATTTTAATACCAAAAAATAATTTCAAGGCATAAACTTTATTGGTTGGGGATTAAAAAGAACAATAAAAACACACAGGTTTGTACAAAGTATTCTAAAAATAATAATAATGAAATCCTACCAAATCAACATACCCTTTCACATTCGTGTTACACGCAACCATCCATAATACATGCAACAAAAGCAACATATAGAAGAAATCTGTCTTTGCTTTTCCGCTCGCTACGATTTTTGAAAAATCGCTTAAAACTGGAAGAGTACCAAACAAATGGAAATTGGCAGATATAACTCCAATATTCAAAAAAGAGAACAGGTTAATTGCTAGCAACTACAGACTAGTTTCATCATCTCAATAGTCTCTAAGTACTCTAAATTATTATATCTGACACAATATATAAACATATGTCAAATAATGATTTATTAAATAAACATCAACATGATTTGTAAAGGGGAAATCTTGTTTAATAAATCTAATTGAAACGATGGATCTTTTAAGTAAATTTTTATTTTTTTCTATTTTAGACTATTTATTAAAGAGCAATATTTTTTTCTTTGTAAATAAATTTCATGAAACATTTCTAGGTAATTCTTTGTGTTTTATCGTGCAAACATCAAATTAACGCTGATGAACTTAAAAAAAATACCAAAGAAACAGCAGCGCTTTGCGTTTCTCTGTACCAATGGTTTTCAATGCCTTAAATCGTACATAAAATTCTAATCCATAGTTCTCAAGTTGTAAGAGATAAACCAGTACCAGTAGGTCTTCTTTCTCAGCTCAGGAATGTCAAAATAAAGACGTTAAAATTATGGAGAACAATATACGAGAAAATACTCAAGAAAACTCACTAATAAAGATGTAATACAAACATAATTGTGCAGTTCAGATTTAATTATATGCCTTTCCATTGAAAAATGCGTCTGTGATTCAGTTTTTTCTTCCTCCTGTAAACTTTGGAACTCACATCATAAACTTTGGATGGGCGGTATTGCCTGCGCAACGACAATATATTATTTTGTTATATATATATATATATATATATATATATATATATATATATATATATATATATATATATATATATATATATATATATATATATATATATATATATATATATATATTATACATATATATTATTTTTAATATTGCAATGGTATTTATGGAATCATAAACTATTATTTTACATGAATTCTAATTTCAACTTAACACTTTTACATAAATAGAATTTATATTTAAAATATATTTACTTCATTTAAGCAAAGAAAAGTTAAAAAAATATTTGTTTACAAATATAATCCATTTGTTTACAAATATAATCCAATCTTTTGCCATTTGTAAAAAGGGCAAAAGCGGCTTCACTTTTTGGATCGAAGTTAGACATCTTGTTTATATAAAATATCATTGTTTTGAATATATAGATGTGGCAGGTCTGATCTGCCTCTAATTTGGAACACTGCTGAAATACTAAATCTGAGTCGAGTGGAACATCTCTAATTTAAAGAAAGTTTTTAAATACAATAACAACAAGTAAGTAGAAGAGGTAAGATTACTTTATTAATTTTTTTCAGATGGATTTAAAATATCAAAGAAACTTAAAGTGACACATTAAGACTGTTATTAATAATAATGAAAATTAATAAAAATTTTATTGTCCTATTTTATTGAAAAGAAAAACAATGTTTAAAAAGTACAATTAATCAACCCTCGGAATTCAGAAAAATGAGGTCAGGAATAATTTGCCAACCTCAATCTTTTTGAGGTTGGCATCAGGTCGGCAAAAATTTGATACAAAGGTCTGACCATAAAACATAGAAACAACCTTAAGTACTTTCAAGTTGGCAGTTAGGTCACCATTGCCGAATTAATCTTGATTCCGAGGGTTGATATATATATATATGTATGTATATATATATATATATATAATATATATATATATATATATATATATATATATATATATATATATATATATATATATATATATATATATTAACCGAAGTTTGTGAACTGGTTGGTATTTTTATATTATTTCAGCTCTCTCAACATTACAATAAAAATAATTTTGGCTTGCTATTTTTAAAAACAAAAGCAGCCAACAAATGGAAAAAATCAAAAAACATTATACACACATTTTTAAAAGTAATAACCTAACTATCTCCATTCAATGTAATATTAAAATTGCCAATTATCTTGACGTAACATTGAACCTGATTGACAATTCTTATTAACCATATTGTAAACTTAATAACCAACTTATGTATGTTCATTCTGATTTAAAGCCTAATATAATAAAAGAAATCACTCACACTATTGAGTTAAGATTATCGACTATGGTAGTAAATGAAACTGTGTTCAATAATTTGATTCTTCCATATGAAAAGACTTTACGCAAATCAGGATACAATTTAAAACTCACTTACCAACCGCAAATAAACAAAAATCAAAAAAGACATCGCAAATGTAAAATTATATGGTACAACCTTCCGTTTAACAAAAAAGTTGAAACTAAAATTGGAAATCACTTCTTGGCTTTAATTGACCAACACTTTCTAGTAGAACACAGACTTCATAAAATTTTTAATCGAAACTATATTAAAGTTAGCTATAGTTGCATGCCTAATGTCAAGTCTTTAATAAATCCACATAAAAACAAAATTTTACAAAGCGATAAAAATAAAACATCAAAAAAATGTATAGACATAAAAATTTGTCTGTTAAATAATCAATGTCTTTCTAGCAATGTCGTATAACAAGCCACTATAAGTTCTGGAGATCCTCAATTCAAAGATAAAATTTAATTTGGTATAAGTAAAACCACATTTAAATTTAGATATGCCAAACATCTTAAATCTTTCAATGCACTGAAATATAAAAATGACACTGAACTTTCCAAAGAAATATGGAAGCTAAAATCGAAAAATATAAATCCTGTGATTGCATGGAAGATAATAACACAATGTAAGCCCTACATTCAAGCATCAAAAGTTTGTAATCTTTGTTTATAAATTTCATATATTATCATATTAAGGAGAAAACTTACTTAATAAAAGATGTGAAATAATATCAAAAACATTCAAAGAAATTTTTACTATCCTTATTTGATACCGGTGACTAACCCTTTGACATCTTTTTGTTTTGTTTTGTTTTTGTAATGTCAGAACTTGTTCCACCGTAATTTTAATTTGTAATTTTTAAAAGTGATAAAATACACAATGGCTGATGATTGCCGAAAGGCATGAAACTCTGAGTTCCATCAATACTTGCTTTTATTTATTTTATATATATATATATATATATATATATATATATATATATATATATATATATATATATATATATATATATATATATAATGAAATTACACAGCATTTCAAAGCATCAACCCATATATCAACCCATATTTGTTGTAAAAATGAAACTAGAAAAGAGAATTGAGTCATACAAACTAAACCTTACTCATGTATACAGTTGTCAGTGAAGTCAAACTAAAAAATAAAGTGCCAGAGTTTTCAAGTGATCAAAGTAAATACAACAAATTGGAGTGGCTAAAACCTTTTAAATTTGCTAAAATTATTTAAAATAAAACAAAAAACTTTCCTGTAGTAACCTACTTAATGACAATGATGAAATAGAAAGTGCCAACGAAGACATGCCTAACAAATTGGCAGAATTTGTTTTAAAATTCAAAAGAGATTATACCTCCAAACAATAACTAAAGAAAAACACTCTCATTAAACTTTTAATGAAGAATAAATTTAAAAGATATTTATTTGTTAATAGTTTTAATAAAAATAATTAGTTATTATTATGTTTTAGTTATTAATAGTTTTTAAGAAATAATTTAAAAACTTACAACCAATGACCTGAATGATGGTCATATTTTACAAATCCGGAAAACATTTTGCTAAAAGAATCCAGAAAAAATCTGAAATTTATTTTGTAAATTTGTATTATTTGGAAATCTGAAAAACTAAAAGTTGAAAGAAATATTAAGAACTCCTGACATATCCAGAAAAAGATAACCCCTGCTTACAAGATAATAATAATGAAAAGATAATAAAAGAAAAGAATTTAAAAAGATAAATACTCTTCAAAACAAGTTCAATAAATCAAAGTAATATTTAAAAAGTTTAAAACTTATTATTATCATAATCTAAAGTAACTTAGAAAAATATTTTAATAATAAAATATTCTTTTGAAAAAAAACATACAAAGAAAAAACTTTCAAAGAAAAAAATATATTTATGCATGGTCAAGAATAATGCAAATAATTTTTTAAAAACTGCAAACCAGGATAGGAATGGTGACAGGCATTATGACACATATATTAACCCTGATATATGTGTGTCATTATCAACCAAACAGCTAATTTTTAATAAAAATGCCAATAGAAAATAATGTAAGTGATAAAATTTAAAAAAGTTTACCCATGTTAAGTTGCCAATATAAAGAGAAAGCCCCTTAGGAATTTGATCTACATTGGCAGCAATTTTGGATTCTTTTTCTTGCTGCTCCATTGATTTTGGATGAATTGTAGTATATGATCTATACTCTGAAACTAGAAATATATATATATATATATATATATATATATATATATATATATATATATATATATATATATATATATATATATATATATATATATATAGTCAAGTTTTTTAAAAATCACAACACAATATGCGCTTCAACTTACAAATCATATTAATAGAAGTTAAGATTATTTTACAGAAAAATAACAAAATTAATTAAAAATATGATTTAAATAACTCTATACCTAGTGGTCCTCTGTGCAATACACCATTCTCTAGATCTTGCTAAAGTTGATATTAATTTAATTTAAATAATTTTAAAAGTATTATAAATGGAAAATTGCTTTATAACTATGATTTTAGTTAATATAATAGCCAACATACAGTATTCGTTTGCTGAACTGGTTCTGCCATTACATCAGCATAAAGGTCAGACTGAACATATGCTGCCTCAGGTCCTTCCATCTATAACAAACAATATAATTAAACATGATACTTTTTTAAAATTATCGTGGGTTATTACCAATTATCATTAGACCAATTAAAAATTTAAAAATTTAATTTTCAGCTTTTAATTATGTTGTATTTTTCAGCTTTTAATTATATTTTTAATATGTTGTACAACTCTTATTTTTTGGTAAGTAAATCTATTTATAAGATTGTTCTGGTCATATTTAAAATATCCGTAAAAAAAAATATTATGTATATATATATATATATATATATATATATATATATATATATATATATATATATATATATATATATATATATATATATATATATATATATATATATATATATATATATATATATATATATATCAGGCTTGGTTGGGAAGTGGGAGCAATCGCTCTCGAATGCTGACCATGTAAATAATATTTAGTTGCGAAAAGCTGGCCAGATTTTTTAGTCGTTTTGAGAACATTTTAAATAGCAAAAAAAGCGACAAAGATTAATTGGACCGATGAGAGACAAGTACAAAAAAAATAAAATAAATAGGCAAATAAAATATCTTTAAACGTGAAAAAAACTTGAAGCTAAATAAATTACATTTAGAACAAATATTTTCGAAATATCGCTCTTTTATAATTTTTTTTATAAAATTAGGCGATGTTTTTTATATAAAGTAACAACTTACGATTGTTTAAAAGGAAAAACAAATATTCTTTATTTAACTAAGTTTGCAAGTTTTAGTTTTACTTAAGCTTAATTTATTTTATAAATAAAAAAGTTAATTTTTTTAATACCTATTTTATGTTTCGCTTAGTTTGATAAGTTTAACATATTTGAAGCAATTCTTCTCAGTAAGATAAACAAATGAAATAATTAAATCATTGAATTACTGTAGAAATTAAATTATCAAGATAGAAATCAACTAAAAAGGTTAAAAATACTTTATGACAAGGAAGCGAAACTGCTTCACAATATTGCTGATGATGTTTGGTGAGTGGGCTTTTTAATTTTAATTAGTATTTAAAGCAGAAAAAAGTATAACGAGTTTTAAGAATGGCAACTAATTAGCGAAAATAATTAGAGTTAGTAAACCAATATCTAGAAACTTTTTTTATATCTAATTATTTACTATATATATTTGTGTTCTGTCGTGACCTCAGGCGCGGTGCTTGTTTATCCGCGAGTTACTTTGTATGCGTTGTTTGTGTTTAGTAACCAGAAACTTCTTATATGTTTGCTACATAATTAGTTTTATTAACTTTAACGATTATAACTTCATTGAAAATGCATTTATTTTTGTAAGTCTTTGTTTAAATCATAAAAATTGCTTTAAAAGATACACTACGACAAAAAAAAAAATACACAAAACTACATATACTTAAAGAATACTATCTCTTAAAACAAAAAATAAGAATATACTAATAAAATAGTTTAGATGAGCAGTCTAACGTCATATTGAAATAGCCTGCTGCCGGGGGCTTCAGTACATACATCAACTGAAAAATAGTCTGATTCCAGCCAAATGCTGTTACATCAAATGAGGGTTTGGGATGGGGCAGCAATCTTTTCTTTCATTATTCTTTGTTTTAATTTTTATTTTTCTGAAAAGGTAACTTTAATTAATGTAACAAAAATATGGCATCAATTTGTTACATAGTGACAAATTTAAAACATAGTTTGCTATAGTAGTTAGTTTTTAAAACATAGTTTACTATATATATATATATATATATATATATATATATATATATATATATATATATATATAAAATATATTATTTTATTGTCATCGAAATGTCAAAGCAATTAAATTAATGCGGAAGTACATTAAGTTTTATTGTTTTTAAAAAGAGCCGCAATAATAATGACTAAAAAGTTTTTTTTAATTAGTAGTGTTTTTGTTTTTGCTTTATTAAAAAACATTTTTTAAACATGCGTAAGTGTTGCTACATCGACTATCTTATAGCCTGCTGCTACAAGGGAGTGTTGCTACATCGACTATCTTATAGCCTGACTTGCAAGGAAGTGCTGCTACATCAACTGAGGGTTTGGTTTGGGCAGGCAGTCTAACATTCATAAAAAAAAAATTTGAAATTTTTTAACATTTTCTGGTCAGGCTTATTAACGCGCTCTTTAAAACAACAGTTTATGGGAAAAACTTTCTGACTACCATGCAAGACTATATATATGTATATATATATATATATATATATATATATATATATATATATATATATATATATATATATATATATATATACATATATATATATATATATATATATATATATATATATATATATATATATATACATATATATATATATATATATATATATATATATATTATATATATATATATATATATATATATACATATATATTATATATATATATATATATATATATATATTATATATATATATATATATATATATATATATATATATATATATATAATATATATATATATATATATATATATATATATATATATATATATTAGAATTGTGAAAAAAAAAAAAGATTTAGGATGTCAAACCAAAAGTAATTAATAAAATATGGTGGATACGAACAAAAACAGCATAATTATTAAAGTAGTATTCAATTTTTTAAAATTATGATTACCTCTTTATGAATACCACTCTTTATATTGAAACTTTAAAAGTTTTTTTAGTACGTTACTTCTTATTATCTCATCAGTTACTAACATAACTATTTTTAAAATAAATAAAACATAAAAAAAGGTCTCAAGAGTTTATATTTCTGAGTTTTAAAAAACAACGTACCGTATGATAAAGAAAAAGTAGTTATTTCGTCGTATTCTTATGTAAGAGTTACAAATAAAATTATAGCAATTAAAATGGAGTTTTTATTCAAAACAACTTAAACGTATTTCTTTTGCAAAAGGCCCGCTAGTTAGTAAAGTCAAGAACAATACTCAACTCAAAAAATTAAATTCGAAAGAAATTTTCAGTAAAATGACGTCATTTCAGAAAATGACGTGCAAGTTTTTCTAACCGGCCACCACAAAATTTGGGTAAACTTTTGATTTTACAATTTAAAAATCAAAATATTTTTTAGGAAGTAAATATTTTCAAACTTGAAAATAATTTTTTTTTCAATATTGGACTCGATTACCTAAATAAAATGTAAAAACCAAATAAATTTTTTTCTTCAATGCGATTTTGAAGCGAACGGACGCGTTTTTTAGAACTTTTTAAAAACTTCGTAAGTTTATTTATTTACATAATATTCTATATAAAATGTCAAAAAATTTTACCATAACCCAAATTAAAGAACTATTGGATATACATGAAAATACAATAATTAAACTTTTAAATGACAAAATCGAAAGATTAGAAAACAAATTTAACATCATTGTAGAAGAAAATAAATATTTAAAAAGTGAAGCTAATGAACTAAAAAATTCTGTGGAATTTATAAATGAAAAATACGAAAACATAAAAAACGAAGCAGCCAATTTAAAAAAAACAAACGACATAAATAATCAAGGCAATGAAAAGAAGAAATTAGAAGATGATGTTATTATTAATAAACTGGCTGAATTAGAAGATCGCAGTCGAAAAAACAATCTTCGAATCAACGGTATCGAAGACTGTGATAATGAATCATGGGAAGAAAGCGAGAAAAAAGTCCAAGAATTTATTAAATCTAAGCTTGGCATTAAGTATAATGTAGATATAGAGAGAGCCCACCGAGTAGGAAGAAAAGAATCAGATAAACCCAGAAACAGGCCTATAATAATCAAATTCTTAAATTACAAAGACAAAAGCACGATATTGGAAAAGTACACCAATCTGAAACTTTGGAACCAAAAAATCTACATAAACGAAGATTTTAGCAAACGGACGATAGAAGTCAGGAAAAAGCTTTTCGCCGAAGCAAAAGAGTTACGTTCTAAAGGTAAATTTGCTAAAGTTATTTATAACAAACTTTATACACGTGATATTTAAATGAACTATTTATATATTCATATATTATATTATTTATTAATCTTTAATATGGATTCAAATAATTCTAATGATTTTGAAAAAATATTTAATTTTTTTCAAACAAACGTTTTAAATTTTAACGAAAAGTCTGATCCTGATTTAAACTATTTTAACGAAATTAATACATCAGAATTTGAATGCAAATATTTTTATCCAAATGAAGTTAAATATTTTCTAAAAATTGATAACATTAATAGTTATTTGAACGTTGTCCATATTAATATAAGGAGTTTTAAAAAAAATTTTGAAAATTTTTTAAATGTCATTTGCGAAACTGATAATTCTTTTAATTTAATTTGTGTAACTGAAACGTGGTCTTCTAACGAGGATTTTGAGAATAATTCAAACCTCCAACTCCCAGGTTTTAATGGAATTACCTTAGAGCGAAATATAAATAAGCGTGGAGGAGTACTTTTTTATGTTAAAAATAGTCTTTTGTATAATGTTAGACGCGATATGAGTGTTTCTGATGAAAACAAAGAGATTTTAACTATTGAAATTATAAACAAAAAATCAAAAAACCTGCTAATAAGCTGTTGTTATGGGCCTCCAACTGGAAGAACTGAAGACCTCAGCAATTTTTTACAAAAGAAAATTCTAGAAAAAACTAATCTTGAAAATAAAAACAATTACTTGATTGGCGATTTTATCGACCAACAAGAATTACAAATTATTCATCCACTTTAATTGATAATATCTTAACTACTGACTTTTTTAATATATCGCTTAAAAAAGGAATAATTAAAACAGATGTATCTGATCATTTTCCTATATTTTTTTCAGTAAATCTAGACTTAAAAAAAAGAAATGCAAAAAAGTGTCACCATAAAAAAAAGGTTGTTCAACAACATTAATTTAAACTCCTTCAAAGAACATTTGTTGCTAATAAATTGGGAACATTTAAACTTTAATAATAATATAAACACAATTTACAACACTTTTTTTAAAACATTTTATAAAGTCTATAAGATACAAATTTTCCTATGTGTGAAACAGTTGTAAAAACAAAAGACATATCATGTCCCTGGATTACAAAAGGTCTTAAAAAATCCTCGAAAATAAAACAAAAGCTATATATTAAATATTTAAAATCAAAATCAGTAAAACATAAAAATAACTATATCAACTATAAAAACTTATATGAAAAACTTCGCAAAAATGCAAAAAAAAAAAAATACTACTCCTACTTGATCAATAAACATAAAAATAATTCGAAACAAATCTGGAAAATAATGAAAGAAGTTACAGGAAAACTTAAAACAAGTACTAATTCTCTGCCACATGAAATAAAAATTGACAACAAACTAATTAACGACTCAAACTATATTGCAGCTGAATTTAACAAATTTTTTACAACAATTGGAACTAAACTTGCAAACAGTATTCCGTATACCGACGATAAATCAGCTGAATTCCAAACATCAACTTCATCAAGTTTTCACTTTACTGAGCTAACTTATGATGAATTTGAAATTGCCTTTAGTTCATTAAAAAGAAATAAAACAACTGGGTATGATGATATTAATGTGAATATTATAATAGACTTTTGTGATGTTATAAAACACATTATTTTTAAAATCTTTAGAACATCCATCAGTCAAGGAATGTTTCCAGACTGTCTAAAAATAGCTAAAGTATTTCCTGTCTTCAAGACAGGAGATCATACAAACATAAATAATTATCGCCCTATTTCAGTTCTTTCAGTCTTTTCAAAAATACTAGAAAAAATAATGTTCAATCGACCATCTAATTAATAATAAAATCTTATACGAAAACCAATTTGGTTTTAAAAAAAACAATTCAGCAGAACACGCTATTCTCCAACTTACGCGCGACATCTCAGAATCTTTTAAAAAATCTCATTTCACATTAGGAGTATTTATTGACTTATCTAAAGCTTTTGATACCGTCAACCATCAAATTCTAATAAAAAAATTATTATCATATGGAATAAAAGATAACACCCTCAAATGGTTAAAAAGCTATCTTACAAATCGTAAGCAATATGTTTATAATAAAGAATCCTCGTCTCAAGTGTTAATGAATGTAACGTGTGGTGTTCCACAAGGCTCCATACTTGGACTTCTTCTCTTTATAATATATCTAAATGATCTTCATAAAACTTCAAGCCTAACAAAAATAATCTTTGCAGACGACACAAATTTATTTCTATCTCATGAAAATATTAATATTCTTTTCAACAACATGACAAATGAATTAAAAAAAGTTTATGATTGGTTCAAAATAAATAGGTTATCTCTCAACACAGCTAAAACTAAATGGACACTTTTTTATCCACTCCATAAAAAACATAGAATACCTCATTTGTTACCCGAACTATATATTGACAATGTAATGATAAAAAGAGAAAAAGTAACAAAGTTTCTAGGAATCTATATTGATGAAAATTTAACTTGGAAACATCACATTAACATTATCTCTTCTAGAGTTTCCAAATGCATCGGTATTCTTTATAAAGCTAGAAACATACTAAATAAACGGCAGCTGACTCAACTGTACTATTCATTTGTTCACTGTCATATAAACTATGCAAATATTATATGGGGAAGCACTCAAAAGACAAAACTTAAAACTCTTTTTAATCATCAGAAACACGCAGCTCGCGCAATTAATTTTAAAAATCGTCTTACTCACTCTGCGCCACTTCTTAAAGATATGAAAGCTTTGAATGTTTATCAACTTAATATTTTTAATATTTTATGCTTTATGTTCAAGTGTAAAGAAAATTTATCTCCACAGGTATTTCAATATCTTTATTCTTTAAAACCGAAAAACAAATATAATTTACGAATTGACAACAATCTTAATGCTCCTTTTTGCAAAACTAAATACGACGAATTTTGTATGTCCTATCGTGGACCTCTTCTTTGGAACAAAATAGTTTTACCTAATTTTGACTTTTCAATCAAACTAAACTACTCCTCTTTCAAAACCAAAATTAAAGAAATTATCTTTTCAATTGAAAACATCTTTATCTATTTTTGAGTTTTTATCAATTTATTGCTGATATATTATACTTTATTGTATTATGTTTTACTATTTACGAATATTTCCGTGAGTTCTTTGCAAACTTATGTATTTAATGGTTTGTATTTTATTACTTTTTATTACTGTGTTTTGTTAAACTTCATATTATCTTTGTTATTTTACGAATTTTTATAACTTCATTATAATATTACGTATTTATATTATATTATACTCGATACTAAAAAGCATTGTAAAAGGCTTCATGATAAGATCCTCATGATCTTCTAGAAGTCCTGCCACTAAATTTGTAATATGTTAAAATTTGTATTATTAAAAAAATTATTTGGCAAAAAAAAAAAAAAAAAATATTTGCAAAACAATTACTCAAAAAATTTAAGATAACTAAAATGCATTGAAACCTTTTACTAAGTGAGATTTGCTGTTATGAAACAAGTTTTTAAAATTTCAACTTTGTTGCATAAGCTCTTGAGTAAGCGTTTCGATACGGTCAATAAGGAACGCTAATTTGGATTGTTTTTATGACTATAGAGGATGTTATTATCAGTGACGGATATCCAAAATTTTTGGTAGGGAAGGGTGGAGGATGTTGAAAATTTTTTGGTATTTTGTTCCTTATTTGCGTCTCCTAAAAAAAAAAGGTCCTCAATTTGTATGATATTTTAAAACTTTCAAATTCTGGTAGAAGGGGAATGCATACCCCATCCCCCCTCCCGTCATGGATCCGTCACTAGTTTCTATGCTGAGCAGGGGCGGATCCAGCATTTTTTGGTCTTTGCGTTAGCTGACTTTCAGGCATTGAGCAAACTCCAAACATTTATATGTTTATACTTATGTCAAATAATGATGCTTTGCAAAAAATTGCGATGATCGGAGTCTGGGAAGAAAAAATTCCCAAAATTTTTGCCATTCTACCTCAAACG